ATGATATGAGTTTCATATTAATATATATAATTAATAATTTAAACACTTTTATTTACAAAATTATTTATTGTTAATTTTAAATTATTATAATAAACAATCCTTCAAACTAACTTTTAAGATTAAATTTTAAAATAAATTTATAGTATAATTATTAATTATGATATGAGTTTCATATTAATATATATAATTAACTATTGAAATAATTTTATCTCAAAATTTCATCTTAAATTTTAGTCCCAAAAGGCAATACTCTATTTTGTTTTTGATGTATAGGTGTTAACGAACCTTCCCTTCTTGAATGAATGATCGTCTTGTTAGGGTAATTGACTTATATACACACGCACACCTTGGTTGATCAACCATGCTGCTTACACCAAGAACCCTCCATTGGGGCAGTGCCAATAATTGATGTCAGAAAGGTGAAGCGTGTTGTTCGAATATTGGATTTCCTAAAAATTGCAGCTGGTGAATGAGAACGACATCTGAAACTTTTTTTTTAAAAAAAAAAGGTGTTAAAGATAATGAAACTACCTAAAGTATATGATTTTACTTGTAGCTAAATTACATTTGCACTATTAATAAATAAGCTTGTCTAATATGTGTTTTATTTACATTTACACTATTTATTAAAAAGCTAATCTAACTTATACCTTAAGAAAGTATTAATTATATTTTTTCATAATTAGTTTGCATAAAAAAATAAAAATTAATTTTAAATTTATTAATTACCTAATTAAAATTGTCTTATTAGTGGTATTAAAGTTAAAAATAATATCTTATTTTTTATATTTTTTTATAAAAATTTATTATAAAATAGTGCAATTAATGCATTTTATATATCTTATGTCTTAAATTTACAGATTAAATAAATCCTTAACAATTATTGATTAATATGTTCATCAAGACAACAAAACTATAATTTTTTAAGAAATTGACATACGAATTCTTAGTTAATTTTATAGAAAACGGTTTCTTAATAATATTTACTTATGATAACAAACGTATAACATGATGTGATGTAACTTTTATTTATTTTTTAATTTAATTTAAATTCATAAATTAATATATATTTATTTAATATCATATAAATATTGTAATATTTACCGTTAATTACTATGATTAGAAAAAAAAAATTGTTAACTCTTCAAAAAAAAAGAAAGAAAAGAGAAGTGTACTTTGACCTTAAAAGTCTAGGAGGCGTAGTGATTTGGAAGAGCTTAACAGGCCTTCGAACACCGAACTACTAAGTTAGGCATTTATTCAATGATAAATGCCCAACGAACAGCACCATGGATGGCCTAGGTAGGCGTTGTGATGGCAATGGAGCATATTAGTGGTAAAGCGATATGGTCCATGTGGGGTGTTTCCTACTCATGTCAATATCCCACTAACATTTTTTTTTTTTGTTAGAGGAAATTAAAAGGTAGGTCGTTTTTTCAAAAAAAAAAAATATTTTTTTAATTAATATTTTAAAAAATTAATTATTAAATTAAAATCTTTATTCATATAAATTATATTTTAAATTTAATAGTAACATAAAATTTATAAATTTTAAATTAAAAATATTTATTTATATTTAATAATATTAAATATTTTATAATTAATAAAATGGTTAAGTCATAGTCAAGAAACACTAAAAAGTTTCAAATTGAATGTGGCTCTAAAATTATTTTTCACTTTATGAAACGACTTAAATAGTCTACTAGAAATCGCGTCCAATGAGAGGTTCTAAATTTGAATTAGATAGAATGAGGGTGGAATAGGTTAAAAAATAGGAGAAAATTGCTTTTTATTAAAAAAAAATACATATACTGATTTTTACTTTTCATAATTAATTACATAGGTTTTGTTTGATTATTTTTTGTACATATTTTTTTATGGTGCTTGTATTTAAAAATGTAAATTTATTATTATTAATTAATTTTAATTTATTTTTATGTACTTCTATTGATTTTAATTAATATTTTATATAAAATTTTAAATAATAAAAGATTATTAAAAAAAAAACCAAAAACTACAACACAGCATAGCACATAAGAACATTGATAAATAAATTAGTGATATTGATAACCAAAATTTAAAATCAATGATGTAACTATGCCATTATATGAGCTTATGTATATAATATCATGAATTTTAATAAAATAAAAAATATCAATTATTAAAATATATATAATTTATTTTTTAATATTTTAAATAAAATAATTTATACTATATTATTAATTCTAAATTTTGATCCTATAAAATTCGTCTCTTTTATTATTATTATGATAAAGAAGCCATAATAATTTATTTTCCTATTTGTGGGAAAAGATAGAGAATCACATCCTGTCATAAAATGGACCTAGTTACCCATTCTCAGAAGAGCCCGCTGGGCCCCATATGGGCCAGCCTTGAAATTCGGTTGCTTTCAATAAAACCCATAAACGTAAAAGTGGAGAAAAGGTGGAATAGAATGTGACCCAAACAAATTTATTCACGGCCTTTGTTGAGCCCACCATGGAGCAAGTGATTGGTTTAATAGCAAAGAAAAGGGACGCATCCAATGCTCAACTGAGAAATGTGATGAAGATGAGGCCACTCATTAATTTTTTAAAGTTAAAATATTAATTTGATTTTTTAATTTTTAAATTTGTATCAAAATTATTCTTTAATTTCAAAAAATACTAAAATTATCTCTAAACTTTAATTTTTGATACCAAAATGGTCTTTCTGTTAACAAAAATACTATGTGATTTATTATTTTGTCACAAAATTAGTTCTTTTTTAAAATAGTAATGATATATAGAATCAAATAAACATATTTTGATATCGCGACATATTTTCAATTACATATAAGATTGACATATAATAAAATTTAAAAAATCAAATTGATATTTGTAATCAAAGTTCAAGAATTAAGTTGACACTTGTTTTCAAAGTTCAAGAACCAAATTGGTATAAAAAACTAAAGTTTAAAAACAGTTTTAATACTTTTTAAAGTTGAAGGATAATTTTGATATAAATCTAAAGGTTAAGGGACCAAATTGATATTTTAACCATTTTTAATACATGTAGAGTTAATTGCTTGAAATTACAAGGCTACTCAATTAAAGATTTTAAAGTTTTTTTTTTTAATAACGAACTTAAATAATAAATAATAATAAATGATATAGTTAGAACATTATGTGATATTATAATTTTATAATAATAACGTGTCATTATATGATTAATTCTTTTTATTCAGAATTCAACTCTTTTCATTTAGAAATCTACTCATAATATTATTTGTAATTAATTATTTAATAAAATATTATGATTATAAATTTACAATTATATATACAATTGTAACTATAATATTTGTTAGTAAAAAATAGCCTTATCTTTTTCAAATCCCTTTTCTTGAAATTTGTTGCTTCACACATTGCTTCTTAAATGACTAAAATATGTCTCAAAAGCTTCACTCATACCCACTCGTAAAATTGAATAGTCTGAAAGACCAACAAGGCCCATTTGTTGATTAAGCTTATTTTGGATATGAGTATGTAAAATTGTAGTAGTTCGGATATACTGATTTACTTTGTTAATTAAGTTCATTTTAAATATGAGTTTAAGAGTAGCTTTGCATGTAGATTGCCTTTCTACTTATAACCCTTTTGTAAATGGGTTTAGAAAACCCCCTTATACTCCATTTTATATAATTTATCTTTACCAAAAAAAAAACAAAAAACAAAAAAGGAGGAAAGTTCCAAGTGTAAAACGGTGTCGCTTTGAGAACCCTTAGGGCTAACATACTAAACCCAACCCTAATTTAGACTTTATCTGCTTCGCTGCTCTCACCCAGCCTGCACACGCAGCACTCACAATGGGTCGTGTAATCCGAGCTCAGCGTAAGGGTGCGGGATCCGTCTTCAAATCTCACACCCACCACCGCAAGGGGCCGGCCCGCTTCCGCAGTCTCGACTTCGGCGAGCGCAATGGCTACCTTAAGGGTGTTGTCACCGAGATTGTCCACGACCCGGGCCGTGGTGCTCCCCTGGCTCGCATCGTCTTCCGTCACCCCTTCCGCTACAAGAAGCAGAAGGAGCTCTTTATTGCCGCCGAGGGCATGTATACCGGCCAGTTCGTGTACTGCGGCAAGAAGGCCACACTCGTGGTCGGCAACGTCTTGCCACTCAGATCCATTCCTGAAGGTGCTGTCGTGTGCAACGTCGAGCATCATGTCGGTGACCGTGGCGTTCTCGCCAGGGCTTCCGGCGATTATGCCATTGTTATTAGCCACAATCCTGATAACGACACTACCAGGTCTCTAGCTCTGATTCCCGTTTACTCTGATTTTCAATCCACGATAAAATGGTGTTTGCAGTATTCGGTTATTTGTTTGGATTTTGCTTATGTTGTTTAGACATTTGATCATTGCCTCCTTCATAGTTGGTTCTTTCATGCTGCATACATTATGATTAAATATGTCCATTGTGGTTGCTATTGCTGTTTAGGCTTTTGTAATCTAGTGGTGGATTGAAAGCAACTTACTTTCACTCAAATGCTAACTTTTACATAGTTATTTTTATGATTGAGAGTTCATTTGACAATGGGGAGGCAGCAGCTCATTAATAAGCTTATTGTCGTATAGTTATACAGGTTTCTTGTTTTGGTCTGGATTGTGCCTGACTGCAAAATCAGAGCTCTTGGATTGAAGAGGAGGGCCCAATATTAGGGGGCTCTTCCCCAATCTAAGGGTAACTGTTTTGCAGTTTGGACTGCAAAATAATTTTTTTTGTAGTTATATTTCTAGTGAAGTGGTGGTAAAAGCTTGGCTAATCAATTATGTGTAATGTGGTGATCTTTGATATGAATTGTTACAGAATCAAGCTTCCATCTGGTGCCAAGAAAATTGTTCCAAGTGGATGCCGAGCAATGATTGGACAAGTTGCAGGTGGGGGGAGGACTGAGAAGCCTCTTCTCAAGGCTGGCAATGCTTATCACAAGTATAGGGTGAAGAGGAACTGCTGGCCTAAGGTGCGTGGTGTGGCAATGAACCCAGTTGAGCATCCTCATGGAGGAGGTAACCATCAGCACATTGGACATGCTAGCACTGTTAGGCGTGATGCACCTCCTGGACAGAAGGTTGGTCTTATTGCTGCAAGGAGAACTGGTAGGCTCAGAGGTCAAGCTGCTGCAACTGCTGCCAAGGCTGATAAGGCTTAGGCTTACGTTATCACTTGTTTCCTCTTATCATCTCACCTTTAGGTTTATTTGTTCAAGACTATTCAGCATATTGTGGTTACAAATTTGTTTTACTTTGCATTTAGTATCAATTTGAAATATTTCATAATGAATATTGCATCATCCTTGATGAGAATTTGGCTACAATGTCTGGTGGAACTCGATTGTTCTTGATAAACATTACATCATTCTATTTAGGCAATCCTTTCTTTTAATTAGTGAATTAATATTATATAACAGAAGGTAATCCTTTTTATCTCAAGTATTTTCACATCTTACTAGAGACTTTTATTTTCAAGAAGATTAAGAAATGAGGTTGGGATATTTTCGCCATGGGGGGAGAAGCTTACAATTACAAGGAAGTAATTTTGCCTGAAATTGCGGGGAAAAATAAAAATGAAAAGAAAAAAAAAAAAACAAAAAAGAGAGAAAATTCCATTTGGGAGGTGGGCCAGGTGGCCTGATGGGTGGAGATTGAAGACCTTGGGCCCAGCTTAAGCCTTCTACGGCCCAATTGGATTCATAGGGTAAGCTGAAGAAAATTATGAAATCCTACCCCGGAACTTTTGTATATTAAAAATAAGTCCCCCAGATTGTATTGCTTCATCTGTTGAATGCCCAATTTTTTTCCTTTTTTCATTTTCACTTTCTCATGAAATTACAGGCGGCATGGAGCATCGGCAACCTCATGCTCAAAGACTCTGCAACCTTATCGTACGTAATCCAAAACTTAGCTCAAACCAAACAGTTACAGAAAGGAAAACAGTTTCACGCTCAGCTGATTTCTACTGGATACCCGCTATCTACATTTCTCACCAATCATCTCCTCAACTTGTACTCGAAATGCGGATGTATAGACTATGCGGACAAACTGTTCGAAAGAATGCGTCAAAGAAATTTGGTTTCTTGGACTGCTATGATAACTGGGTTTTCTCAAAATTTAGAGTACTTGGAGGCGGTGAGAACCTTCTCGCAAATGCGATTTGCCGGAGAAAGCCCGACCCAGTTTGCATTTTCCAGTGTTATTCGAGCTTGCGTGTCACTTGGGTCTATTGAGTTAGGGTGGCAGATTCATTGTCTTGCGTTGAAATGTGGATTTGGTTTTGATATGTTTACGGGTAGTAATTTGGTGGATTTGTATTCGAAGTGTGGGTTCATGATTGATGCTTGTAAGGTTTTTGAAGAGATGGAGTGTAAGGATGAGGTGTTGTGGACCACGCTGATTGATGGGTATGTGAAGAATGGTAATTTTGAGGATGCCTTATTAGCATATAAAAGGATGATTGATGATGGTATTATGGTAGATCATTATGTTCTTTGTAGTACTTTAAGTGCTTGCGGGGCTCTTAAGCCTTTTAAATTTGGAAAGTGCCTTCATTGTTTTATTGTGAAAATGGGATTTGAGGGTGAGATTTCTGTGGGTAATGCTCTCACAGACATGTACTCGAAAATGGGAGATATGGAAAGTGCTTCAAATGTTTTTGGGATTGATTCTGAATGTAGAAATATTGTGTCATATACTTCCTTGATTGATGGGTATGTTGAGATGGATCAAATTGAAAAGGCTTTGACTGTTTTTGCTGAGTTATGGAGAAAAGGTATTGAACCTAATCAGTTCACCTTCTCTAGTTTGATCAAGGCTTGTTCTAACCAAGCTTTACTTGAACAAGGGACCCAACTTCATGCTCAAGTGATCAAGTTGAATTTGGATAAAGACTATTTTGTTTCTTCAGTACTAGTTGATATGTATGGAAAATGTGGGTTGCTTGATGATTCAGTTCAAGTGTTTGATGAGATTGAAAGCCCAAGTGTAATTGCATGGAATTCAATGATAAGTGTTTTAGCTCAGCATGGATTCGGAAAAGATGCAATGGAAACATTCTGTAGGATGAAAAATAATGGTGTTGAACCAAATTCAGTTACATTCGTCAGTCTTTTAATAGGTTGCAGTCATGCTGGATTAGTCGAGGAAGGTTTAAATTTATTTTATTCTATGGACAGAAGTTATGGGGTAATGCCTAGAGGAGAACATTACTCTTGTGTTATTGATTTACTTGGACGGGCTGGAAAGCTCAAAGAAGCCGAAGAATTTATAAATAGCATGCCCTTTAAACCAAATGCTTTTGGATGGTGTTCTTTCCTTGCAGCCTGCAAGAACCATGGTGATAAAGAGAGAGCTAAACTTGCAGCCGAAAACCTGATGCAACTTGAACCTGAAAACAGTGGAGCTCATGTTATGCTTTCAAATATTTTTGCAAAGGAAAAGCGATGGGAAGATGTGAGGACACTTAGGAAGATGATGAGAGATGGCAATGTGAAGAAGATGCCAGGTTATAGCTGGGTTGATGTTGGAAACCAAACTCATATTTTTGGAGCCGAAGACTGGTCTCATCCCCAACAGAAAGAAATTTATGAGAAGCTCGATACTCTTCTTGATGAGATAAAGAAGGCTGGATATGTTCCTTGCACAGATTCCATTCCATTGGATATGGAAGATTCTCTGAAGGAGAAAATACTTCAGCGTCATAGTGAGAGGATTGCAGTCGCATTTGCCCTACTAAGCTTGCCAGTTGGGAAACCTATTATTGTGAAGAAAAACTTACGGGTATGCTCAGATTGTCATTCTGCAATTAAGTACATATCTAAGGTGGTTGGAAGAAAGATTATTGTCAGGGATAATAGTAGATTTCACCATTTTGCTGATGGGTTGTGTTCCTGTGGAGATTTTTGGTAAATTCTCTAAAGCTTCATGTACTGCAAGCATTACATCCCTCATCATCGATGAGATGTGAGTACTGATCTCAGCCAAAGATTTGCAAACCTTCTTCATCTGCTTTCTCTGCCTTTTAAAACTGGATATGCCGATGACTAGGGAAGGAAGTGCAGCTGAAGATGAATGTAATTTAGGATATAAAGGGAGCTGATCATGAGATAAGGTGATTGCTGATAAGGATTTGAAGAACTTCCTACACGGTATGCAGTGGAAAGAGGGCTCGACTAAATGAGGCAAAACTTGTGAGAAAAAAAAAATCATTTTTCCTTTTTGTTTATTTTCAAAATTCCATACTTTACAGTGTTAAGGTTTCCCATTCTCTCAAACCATTTACACTTGCAATGCCTAAGAGGCAAGAATGACCAATGTTACCTGCAGAGGATAATTTTCTTCTTTATTTAGATTTTCTTTCATTCTCATTGGCATTTTTCATTCATATGTAAAAATGTCAGAATGATCTTCTTTAGACTTGCCATTGGCATTTTTCAGTGAAATCATGAAACTGATTTCACAAGATTGAAGAACATGACTGAATGTAAAAATGCCAGAATGATGCGATAGGGGCAGTATCATAGGAATTGCCACTGTACCATGTATATTCAATATGTGAGGCCGTGGTTTTGTAATCCGGACAGCACCAACTACAAACCAAGACCAATTGATGGGGAAGGGCTTGCACATATATATATCTAGGGTCTGTCTGCATCTAACGTTAGTTTTATACAATCCAAATTGCACAAAACATTTTTATCAATTATTTGACCCTTTAGTATGTGACATTCACAAAGGTCAATCAACTTCGTGATGGCAGATCGAGACATCAAAATATGTGTTAGGGGCAAACAAATGAGATCTGACATGAACACAATATCCTTAACATTGAATGAAACAAACAACAAAAATATCATTTTCACTTCACGAAATTCTCGCTCTGTACAAGGTAATGTGAGGTTTATTGTATTAACATACTGCAAAAACAAGCTCTAACATGGAGTGTATTCCTAAACTTATTGAAATGGGAAGGATATAAGGTACTTTGTTGTGGCTTGCTAAGGAAATATGCTATTTAGAACCTACAACTAACATGGCTATATATATTTTAGACAGGCATACATGCTGATACCTCAAGATGAGGCATAACTCCTTGGGTTGAGAGAAAAGAAAAATTATTCAAGCTCTTGGGTAGCGTGAGCGTCCTTTCTTCTTGAGGAACTCAGGGATTTCCACGGAACCACCTTCACTGAAACTGGTAGGTCGGCGACCAATTCCAATGGCATCTCCTTGTGCTAGCTGACTTGCCTGCATTTCACCCAGTAAAATTGCTATGGCCATTTAAGAGAGAGAAGGGGGTGGGGGGGAGGAGGAGGGGAGGAACCGAGGAAGGGATGGGGAATATGGAACGGGGGAGGAAAAAGTAAGCAATACCTGCAGGGGTCTCCCTTCACTTTCTTCTTGGCGTTTGAATCCCGTGGCAATAAGAGTTATACTCACCTAAGTGAAGAACAAATAGTAAGACAGACCAATATAACAATCACAATCAGTAGGAATGTTGTCTTCTTCATATTAAAATCAATATAAATATGGCAGTATGGCAGGTCTTCAGTACAAGTGTTGCCTGTGCAGACATGATCTAGTGACTTCTACATTTCATAGTAACCTAGGCCAAAAATTTAAAACTGGAGCAGATTGAACCTTTGGGCTGCTCTCGTCAGGCAAATGATCCTTAAGCCAGTCTTAGCCTCAGGGCTGCAGTCCTCATTTATTGAACTTAATGAACAAGCTTGAGCTTGACTTGTTTTATGTTCATGCCCAAAGCTTATAAACAGCCGGTGGAGGAGGCTCACTACAAGCTTGTTTAGAAGCACAGTAAATGCATTTCAAAAGGAATTTTATTTTTAGAAGCCATCTAATGTGCTTTTGTTTGGATGAACTTTGATATTTTTAAGTGCAAATTTTTTAAAAATATTTTACTCTGATATTTAGGAATATTTATGTAATAGCTCACAGGCTTTTATTTTTCTAATGTGTGTAAAACATTTTATTTAAAATATAATATTAGGTTCTTAAATTAGTTAAAAGATTCAGAGCTTAAACAAGCTCAAACTCAATAAAAACATAATCAACAAGCCAGAGCTAGGTGGTGGCCAATCAAGCTCAGCTGCTTATGGTCCTAACTCCTAACTTTACGAGCAAGCACTAAACAGATTACAAGTTTCGGTATGTGCCTTTGTTTGGATATATTTATAGACAAAATTCAAAGGCAAATACTGATCTTAACCGGAAAGTGAGAGATCTTTATATTGGACCAACAACAAATTTCTTCATCACTAATGTTTATCTAATTACTAAGTTTAAATGCTACTTTTCTGAATTCTAAACATCATCATGTTTCTTCTTAACTGATCTGCTTAACAGCACCATCAGATGAAACGCCTATAATAGCAGGTCAATCAAAAAGCAAAGTAAAGACAACTTCTGATGATAACAACTAGCCAAGTTTTTAATGAAAGAATAGGTTTTGACTGGTAACCTACTTGACCACTAAGTGATGGATCTATCACTGCTCCAAATATCAAATTTGCTGTCGGATCCACAAGGTCATAAATAACCTCAGCAGCAGCATTGACCTACAAGAATTTCTATTAGTCGTCAAACATATTTCAGAAGATAAATGAAAATTCATAAAGATGAAGCACAATTTTTCAAAAGGAGGAATATGCAAGCTAACATAAAACAAGACAGACATTTCAGATATCTTAGGCTCCTTAAGTTTAACTTATTTTCTTGGCATCTAAAATTACTGAATTTGAGAGATGTTATTAGCACTACTTGAAAACCTTGTTCTGCAATATGATAAGATTAGGTTAATTTAAAACTACATTCTTTATAAAGGAAAAACACAGCATATTACCAATAAGGAATTAAATGGCCAAAAATATTTCGTTACAGTGATATTATAATATTTTAACTATTAACAAGAAGTAGCAGAGTCATTTCTAATATCTTGGGACTGAAATATTAAGCAAACAATAAAATATAAATGAACTTTGACAATAATATCTAAATCACAGGTCAATTAGCGAGCACTAGTGGAATATTTTTCTCATGCCAACTGCTATTCTCCCTGATAGATAAACATCCACATCTGAGAGATTTACCTCATACAAAGTTAAGTCACTTCCACCGGTAATATTCCACACAATGCCGGTAGCTCTTTCTATACCAATATCTAACAAAGGTGATTGGATAGCATTTAATGCAGCATCTCTTGCCCTTGTTTTCCCTACATTCAAAAAACAAAAGTACTAGAAATTAACTGTAATATCTCATCAGAACACAATTTTTGGTTCTAGGTCAAAGTAGTTGAATTTGAAAAAACAATGTAGACAGTCGAACAGCTATGAAGTTAAAAAATGTCTGATGAATGTAGCATCCATTCAAGACAAGCAAGGGGAATACATAGAATAGAACCGTGGACCATGTTCCCACAATAAGAAATGGACAATAATTGATAAAACCGTTTCTCTCCCTATCCCAGTACTTTATTTTTAATTCCTTTCCCTTTTATTTGGTTGAGGAGGGCAGTAAAGCACAAGTCACAGCAAATGATTCAAGAACTTCCAAGCACATCTGAGTATGGAAAATTATATTTCACTTTATGCTTCTGTCTCTTTTTTTAACTTCTGTTTCTATAAAAATTAATTTGTAAAAGGTTGGTAGATTAAATTAAGAAAACCAGGTTTTCCATGTTTAATAAAGAAAAGAAAGAAAAGCCTCTTGATTTTTACCTTTTATCCCCAAAAAATTGTAGAAAGGCATTGGTTGTTTAAATTG